GGAGTTGTCGGCTGGTTTCGCGCTCAAGCCGTCCCCTCAGCAAAAGGCTGTGCACTCCCGTAGCAGCTGCATACAAAATTAGGGGCGCCAACTTGGTTGCTCCACCCGCAAATCGGAGAGCCCGTGTAGGATCTTGCTGTTTGGGAAATAAAAAGTCCCTCAAGAAGCAGTCTCCGACCAGCTGCTCTCCAAAGGGAAAAACGGAAAGAGAAAAACACACTCTTTGAAAATCCTTGTGTCCCCAGCTCCATCCTGAGAGTGACAAGCACCAAGGGTGCCATCGCTTAAAGTGGGTATTTTTCTCTGCAGGTCCGGCACTGCTATTCCATGGTCAAAATTAAGTCCCTGGGGAGATCTGGAACCATCCCTCACTCCTCAGTCTCCCATCCCCCTTTCTCTTTTTCCTTCTCTTTCTCTCCACCCCACCTCCTGAGGTGTTCCCAGCTGGTCTAGTCGCTTCAAAACAGGACCCCACAGAGAGCATTAGTACCTGAGTGCCTGTCACCTCGGCTGCAGCCTCTTGGTCCTCAGGTGTCCGCAGAAACCACCACTGGATTTCAAGGTACACTGAAGTGGAGCCACTTTGGAAAGCACATGACATCTCCACATTCTGCCCTTCAGTGGCCGTGACATTTTGGGGGAACTCAGTGAATTTTGCTGCAATAAATGAACAGCTTTTTGGGATCTCCTGTTATCTCCAAACCATTTGTTTGCTCCGTTTTCTGTTGCTTTTTTCTTCTGCCCCACCCCCCACCTAACCACGACCACCACCACCTCTTATTTCCTTTCTCTGTTTTCCTCTCCTCATTCCTTCACTTTTCTGCATCTCTACTTTCCATTAACTCCCCTGGTTTCCAAAGTTTACATTTTCTCCCCAAGGCACAAATCCACCTTGTACTCTTTAAGTTCTGCTCATGGGAATGCTACAGAGCACACTATTTGCTCCCATGGGTCAATACAGTTACGTGTCATTAGGACCAAATACCCTAGGGCAGAATGCCCTGTTTCACTAAATTCACAAAGGAGTTTAGTGCAAAACCAGTTTGGAAGAGGAAAAGAAATAAGGCTAGCTGGTTTATTGATTTTTAGGGTTGAGCGTGAAAGCTCAATTGTTGAGCGTGAATTGTTAAACCTTCTTCAGACATCTGAAACAGATAATTGAATGGGCACTGCTCTGAATTGGGGGTTCTGAACACTCATCAAAATGTTTGTTTCAAAAAACTTTAGGCAAGTGACTTATATTTTCTGAGACTCTCATCTTACATGAAAAGATCAAGAATCAAAACACCTTGTAATTCTAGGTCCTAACAGACAGTTCCTAGAGGAACATCTCTGTGTGTTGGTCCTTTGACAGGATTTGCCTAATTCAATGTACCACAGCCAGGTTTAGAAAGTCACCATGATGGGCATACAGGACACCTGTATTTCTTTAAGTCTCAATCTTGACTTCCTTCTCAGCCTCTCATATAATTCACTTTAAAATTGTGCAAGCTAATAAAACTAATGGTAGTCAAGCAAGGCATTGGAGGAATACTGGCAAACAACATGGTAAGTAAAGCTTGTGTTTCAAGCAGACGATTTTTGGGGGGGAATACCTGCAGTGTTGCTTTCTGTTGTGTTTGTTACAGGTTGACTGAAGCATATTATGATGCAAAGGAAACATTTCTAGTGTCTCCTCCCCTCTGCTTCCTCATCCAGTCTCCCTAACCTGGAATTGGTGGAATAATTTGGGAATATGCTCAGCCAGTTTTACTTGGTTTGCCTTTACACTTGTGCCTAGAAACCGATGCTCAGCAAAGCTCCTAGTTTTTTATTGCCCCATGTCCCTTCTCCCTCCCTTCCTCCCTGCACAGTCGGTGCATGCTGTTCCCTTAGTTAAACAAACAGAAAGGCTTTGCATACGTAGTGCTTATTGGTTAGGTAGCAAGGTTGTTTTGGGATGTGGGGTGGGGATGCTTTCTTTTTTTTTTTTTTCCCCTCCTTCCCCTCCTGGCCAGTGCGCGTGAGCGACCTGGGGACGCGGTTGGGGACGCGGAGGGGGAATATCGCCACCACCCTCTTCCTGCCGATCCGCCAAGCGCATCCCGCGGAGCAGGAGCAGAGGGTCGGGATAGGGGGCAGCGGGCAGGAGGCAGGGGGCAGGAGGCAGAGGCTCTGTCCACGGTGCTGACAGCGCCGCCGCAGCCCTCGAGGTCCCAAGCAAGCGGCTCCTGCAGCGCCAGGGTTGCTTGAAATGCACGGCGCGCCTTTCGGCAGGGAGGGAGGGAGGCGGCGGCGGGGACGTCTTCGGAGAAGTCGATTTTTTAATTATTATTATTTTTTCTTTTTCTTTTTTTTTTTTTTCTTGAGGAAATACACATAGTCACCAAATGTAACCGAAGGACTCGCTGAGGAGCTAAGGGTGATTGGAGGGGAGAGGGGGAATGCAGCACCGAGGGAGACTGCAATATTTTAAGGGAGGCAGTAGATTTAGGCAGCCAGTACTCAGTGCGAATGCAGTAATTATGCATACACGGGTAGGTGTTTATCGTGTTCATGCATACATATATACAAACATGCACAGTCAAAATGTGTTTATCTCCCATTCACTACCAGCCCTTTACTCTTTTGCAAGGTGCTTCATTTCCCTCTTTGCAGACAAGGGAAAACAACAACAACAACAACAACAAGAAAAATAAAAAAAAACAACACTGTTTCATTCTCACTTTGGGAAAACTTCTCCTTTCATTGCTGTTTACAGACCATTTAAAGCCAAAATTAAGCCTAAGGCTTGGCATCCTCCTCTCCTTTCCATAGTGGTCGTTTTTCTTCTCTTTTATCTTCTGCTCTCCCCCTCCCCTTCTCCCAAATCCTTTTCTCTGTTTTAGCAAGAAAACACACGCACAGTAAGCAGTCTTACCTTGGGTAGAAAGTCCTTGTTGAATATACATAACTGAAAAGAAAATGAATCCAACATAACCCAGGAAGATCCCCATCATTCCAATGAAGAAAAAGTCACATCAGGGTAAGGAAAGCCAAAGGTGCCCTCAAAAAAAGAAAGATTTTATATGTGTGTGTATATATGTATCTGTGTAATATGAATAGAAGGAGATGTTAAAATGTTACAGAAAGGCTCTGTATTGTAGCCCTAGCTGCAGCACTGGCAGCATTCTGCTACTCAGTGGAGTCTTTTTCTTTGGAAAGAGCGAGTGTTGCAATACAGTGAGGTTTAGATGATCTGTCTCAGGCACTGTGTTGCTTGAAGTCCAGATTCAGACTAAAAAAAAAAAAAAACTTCTGAAAAATGGTATCAGCTGCTTTCTGTGCCTTTTTTCAGCTACCTGGCAGCTCCGTCCAACGTCAGCTCCTGCTGCTCAGGATGGCGTGATGACTGCCCTCCCTATACACTGATCCAGCTTGGGCAGTGGGAAGTGAGGGGAAAGAAGGAGAAGGAGGAGGAGGAGGAGGGGAAGAAGGAGGAGGAGGGATGGGTGTAGGCGAGAGAAGTCTACTGTGCTTGTATTGCTTCAACTTTTCCCTCTAATGGCTGCGATGATGCCTTTAACCCTTCCCTCTCTCCTTGTTCTCTACACCTCTCTACCTACTTGTTCACATGCTAGTGAAAAGCTGCCTATTTTTTTTTTCCCTCTTCTCACAGCATCCAGCTTGTGCTTGTTGAGAGAGCAGGGAGCCTTTATTGTACTGATGTAATCTTCGGTCTTACATCCCCAAACACTCAGTGGCTAAGAGGGCAATGCAGTGGTTTGATTTTTGGTGAGTTAAGCTGTTTCTGTTTTCTCCTTTTCTCTCCCTCTTACAGGATCTAAGGGGGAAATAGCTATCCAGTTATGCTACTGCACATGCTTTTAACTGCTCGAAATAACTATGCTCCTAACATCTTGCATTAAAATATTGTGCGCTTTGTCTTCAAAGACACATGAAGAGCACAGTACTTAAAATGTGTTTAGGATACAGGTATTTATGTAGATTTCTAGGGAGAAAATTTATTTAGGTAGAATAAACAATGGATTTTGATGTCTTATATGTTGGTCATAGTGAAAAAATATATATATATGTGCATACAGCAGAGATGGTGTTTGCAACATATTAAAGAATGCCTCCTCCTGCAGTTCATCCAGAAGATATTATTCTATCAAATATTGCTAGCATAAGTAATAGAAATAACACATCTCGCACTATCAGTGTTAAATTTCACCCTGGTGTGTAAAGTTTGTCAGCCACCCTGTATGAATCTGGGCAGTGAATGTATGTATCCTCCTGAATATTTCCTTCTGGCTGCCCTGTTTTTTTGTGTATGTGTACTAATACCATTGAGATGAAAGACCAACCTTGACTGTGTCAGGTGTTCAAAATGCCATCAGAAATATCTGCACTGAGGGAAATTCTCTGACTAAAATCATAGTGCCATGTAAGAAGCCATCTAGAAAGTGCTTGTTGAACTAAGCAAGCACCAAATACCGTTACAAGACTGAGGGAAAGACTAGAGAAGATCTAAACAGAGCACCCTGCACTCATTTAGACTGCAAAATAACTAATCTAAACTGCTATTAGACGGAAAAGATATAAACAGGGATAAATTAAAGAGTATTTTATTCATAGAGAGTATATTTTTCTATCGAGTGAAGCATTTGTCAGGGTCTGTCATTCCTAGCAATGGGAGTGCAGCAGTTCCACCGTGGTACAAGATGCAACTTTCCGCTTACTTAATACACTATCCAAATTATTGCCTGCATGTAAGACATTTAGCGTAGCTGCAGAGGTATCTTTTACAGAATTAATGTCATCTGCCTGGAGAAAAAAAAAAAGAAAGAAAAAATATTTTATCTGCCTTTTAACATGTACTTGTTTTATAGCCACATGAGTTCCCTTTATTATTTACATAACTAAAGGAAGCATCTTCCCTTGATAATGGTCTATTCCACTGATGTAATATTTTATGCATAGCAATAATTCTCATGAGTACAACATGTTAAATATAACCGAAATGCTTGATATGATCCCCCAAACAAGAAACAATTATGTTGCTTGAAAGATAGAAAGAAAGAAAAAAGTCTGTTACCACAGACTTTTAATTACTTTAAAGGAGGTCGTGATGGATGTACCAAAACCAAAGAAATTCTGCAAAGCAAAAGAAAAGCACCAATCTTTAAAGCTGAAGGAGCTAAATTAGCCAGATTAGCCAATGGCTGTGAGAGAGTGCAAAATTAGATAAAATGCACAAACATGTTTACAAGTTCAGATGGTGAATGTTTCTATAATTTCTAAAATAAATCAGATCCTTTTCAGATGAGCAACCAGAAATCCTAAGTCACTTCTGAAAATATGAAGGCTGATTGTGCAATTCACTTCAGACCCATATACGTCACCAGTAATCATCTTAAATTACAAATTAGAGATATATTATCAGCAGTCAAGTTAAATGCAAATTAGGAAGATCTAAGCAGCATCACCTGGTTTAGAAGGAAAGCAGAAAACATAAATAGATAACTTGTTCTTTCTCTCTTTTCTGCCTATTCTAATTCAAGGCACCTGGTAGGTAAATTTATTTTTAGCATTTTGTAATTTGGAGGCAAATATAATTGTCACAAAAATCTTACAGTCAATAAAACTAGCTGAATCTTACTATCACAAGGAAGTACAAAATAATATGCATGGTAATTGTAACTGAAATAAAACTCTCTGTTTTGATATTTTAATAAAGTTATATTTTTTCAGAAACTGATCTAATGAAAAGAATCCTAAATTATTTTTATTTTATTCATATGCTCTTCCAGAAGATATTATTCTGTCAAATATTGCTAGCATAAGTAATAGAAATAACACACCTCACACTATCAGTGTTAAATTTCACCCTGGTGTGTAAAGTTTGCCTGTCACCCTGTATGAATGTGGGCAGTGAATGTATGCTGTCACTTTGAAATCTCTGCTGTTTGTGCTGTAGAAAGGGTGCTCATGTAGCCTAACTTACATGAGAAGATTTGGTTGTGCTTTGCAGCATGAATTACACAGGCTATGTGAGGTTTTTAGTGTCATCCACCTGCCTCCCTTCAATGATTGTAACAGATGAGTCATCATTGGACACTCTCCCATGACATAGCCAGAACGTCTATGCAAAGGGAATGACTTTTCAAACATGCCAAAGAAAAGTAATAATGGAAGTCCCATTTATGCAGCTTTGGAGCTGAACTCTAGGGTTTTACCCTGTGTCTCATTACTACCATAGCATGCATTGCAGGTCAGCTGCTCTTGCACCGCACAATATTCAAAACCACAAAAGGCCACATATGTTCACCATTGCCTTGCTTGCAGTCTCCGGGACTCTCTGACTGTTTTAATTATTGAGGGAAAAAGTGGGCATACTGAGCTCACAATTCTAAGATTAGTAGAAGTCAGAAATAAGAGATGTTCTGCTATTCAGCAATATGGCTGGAGTGCTTTGATCCCACAAATACGTTGCACATATTCTGGTATAGGCTTCCTTGCCCAGCAGAAACACATCAAATCATACCCTATCTTTTGGCATGAGACCATGACTGAGTGTACCAACTCAGTTAAAAAATAAAAATATATTACTTGGAATACAGCTATTTGATGAGAAAAGTAGTGGTATGGTCCCATAAGAAGCTCTGCATATGGGTGCGTATTTATGAGTCTGAGTTCTGTATTGAAAAAAGAATTTCCTGTGCTAATTCCTGATCTTATTTACAGTCTACTTAAATCTAGATCTGAAAGAAATTATTGGTGCCCCTATAAGTAATGGGGATCAGGAGATCATAACAGAGATTATGGAGAGATAACAGAGATAACAGGAGATCATACAGGAGATTAAAAAAAAAAAACAACCTAAAATACACATTGTAGAATAACAAAGCAGCAGAATTACTATATAAGTTACTCTGGAAATAAAACTATATGGTTAAAAGGGGCTTTTGAGGGTTACTGTAGAAAATCTATTGCACTAGAAATTAATAATCTAGAACATTATGTAATGATTTCTGTGCATAAGCAAGTCAGAAGAAACTATTTCTTCCCAGGAAATCACTTCATATATTGAAGTCTTACATCTTGTTTTGCCTGTGTTTTAGAGGCTTCCTTAAAGGGCTGAGAATAAAACAGTAAACAGGTTAATGTGGCACTGCCTGAAATCTTCTGTAAGTCAGTCAGTTTCAAGCTCAATATCTTATGGAGATTTTACTGGTTAATGAGCTTTTGTTTCTCTCTAGTGACTTTTATTTTGCTGTCTCTAAAATGTGTTTGGTGTGAGCCAAAGCTGATAGAAATAACTTAAAAAAGCTCTACTTTCTTTCCTTCTTGTAATGGTTGCATTGGGTAATTATTTAGGATCACTTGCATGGAGGTCTATGGTGTTTAAGTAGCAAGTTGCAATGTATTTATACAAATACATTTTGTATTTGTAATTTGAGTAAAAGGGCTGCCCACTACAAGTGTGGTCTGAGCAAAGCATGGGGCTTTCTGTGGCCTGTTGTCTTTTTTTTTTCCACATCATTGTAACTCATAGCTTGCATCATTTGATCAAGAACACGAATTATAATGTTAAAGAATGTTTGGGATATTTACAATTGGGTTACCAATGGTAAATTTTTACTTCATTTTATAATCAATAGGAGAAGTTCTTATCTTTAAAGTTTTTTCCTTTTTCATCAGCTAATCAAACAGCTTTCCCTGGTGGTATATGCTCTAGGGTTGTTATTTTTGCAGCAGCTGTTGTGATCACAGACATGGCAGATGCACTCATAAAAACAGTAGCAATTTTTGTCCTACAATTGGAAGCAGTGGAACATTTTTATAAAGACATTGGTAAGATTGACCTTTTCATTTTGGAAGAGGCCCAAGCAATCAAAACTAAGTATTCATAATCACGACTATTTGTAGCTATCAGTGTGAATAAAATCATCTATTCAAATGTATTTGAGCAATTACGTATGAGACTTCTTGGGTATGCATGCCTATATGATGCGCTCTTTAGATCCCTGAAAGAGAATGGAACCTTGCTGATTCGTACTTTCAGCTATTTTGATGGTTACTGTTATCTGAGAGATGAGTTTACCATTTCAAAGAAATTTGTGTGTGTTCTGAATAGAACTTTTTACTTAAAACCTAAAAAAAAGTAGACTGCTTTTTTTTTTTTTTTAAACTGAGGACTGGTATTTGACTTTGGTAAAAGTGCTCATATGAACCTCTTTCAGCATATCACTGCTTTCAGTACTTTTGCAATAAATAATTTAAATATGAAGGAAGGTTGATGAATAAACTTGATTTGTAATGGGGAAAACAAACAGAGTTCTTTTGGTTAAGATTCTTTTTTACTTTTCATTCAAACACAGATCAGCCATCTTTGTGACAAAGAGTGCAAGAACAGGAAGATTATGACTGAGGC